GGAGGTCTTGTCCTGGAGGAGGCTCCTGGCCAGGAGAGGGGTCCTTGTTGAGGGAAGGATCTTCAGCACCCAGCCTCTGCCCTTCTTCCAAGGGCATCTCCCTCTTCTCATCTGCCTCCGATTCAAACATCTGAGCAACAGAAAGAAAATATGAAAGGGAGCGGTCACACACGGCCTGAGCCAACGTCACAGTGACTGACACACGGATGGCTGCCTGAACTCCTGACACCCTGCCCCACAGTCTGAGGGCCAGCCACGCCACACAGAGACCTGAAGGCCCCAGGTGGTCATGCAAGGGGAAGGGGGGAGATGGTCTCCACTGGCCTGGCTCCTGTGTGCCTGCTACCGGTTCAAGGTGTAATCCCTCCCTTGTTTAATCCTCCCAATGGCCGATGGTGGGACGTGTACCATTGTCTCCATTTCACAGAGAACGAAACAGGGGTGAAGTCAGCTCTGTGAGTACAGGAGAAACCAGGACGGAGCCAAGCCCGCACTCCAGCACAGGGCCCGAGGCAGAAGCCTGAACCCAGCCAGAGAACATCCTCTACCTGAACCAAAGTTTAAAATTTTTAAAAATGAGCCTTTCAAACAAGGACTTGCCCATCGTGTTGTGTTTAAGCTGTTTTGTGTGTTTTTAACCTGCTTGGAGGAACCACAGGGATTCTGAGAAGCACAGCGTATTTCCTGTCTGCGTGCTCCACGGTTGCTACCCAAGGGAGCCTCAGGTCTTCGCTGGGTTCCCACCCAGGAGCTCACTGGGAATGGGAAAAGCCGTTCTTGTGATCAGAGTCTGAATGTGTCTCTCTCTCTGGAGAAGAGTTGGGCTCAAAGAAGGTCGGGAGGGTCCAGGGTGTCGGAACCAGGAAGGGAAGCAGCACTCCGGTGGGGACTGGGCCTCCATCATACCCAGGGCCTGGGAGTGCTAGAGCCTGAACCACTGAGAGCCCGGGTTGTGCCCTTCAAGGGTCGTGGCCACGTAGCACCCATGGAAGAGAAGGGCCTCACATGTACCGGGCAACTATGCAGACACACGGAGATGCCAGGACACACACACACACAAAATGGTGGAGAATCTCAGAGTGCAAGTACTCTCAAAACAGAGATGAAGGACTCTAATGTCCATTTGGCAGATGAGGATACTGAGCCCAAGGCGCAGTGACCTGTCCACTATCGCAGTGAAAAGCTGTCCTTCCCTGAGAGACTGTCTGCAAGGGGAAACTCCAACCAAGCCTCACAGGCAGGAGAAGCAAGGGCCCTCGCTGTGGCTCAGGCACTACAGTGCCCTGTGCACACGCATGAGGGGCCACGGTGCATCTGGGAGCGCCCAGGGAGCTATGAAAACACATGCGGGTGAGATTGGCTGCTAAGAGCACAGAAAGTGGGGCCTGGCCAAGTGTAGAGAGCACAGCTGAACCAGAGAGCTGGCCTGGGCCAGGGAGAGTACCCCTAGGTTCTCGTACACAGGCAGGTGCCCACTGGCCCTCCACAAGGGGCGATTCTGCCCAAGGATACCTGGGTCCTCAGAACCTCAGACCCTGAGACCCACCACCACCCCAAGAGCCCGGGCATTCCCAACTCCCACAGCTCAGACAGGGAGGCTGAGGCCCTGAGATGGGCAGGGGGAACCGCCCATCAGCCAGTGGGAGCCCTCTGGCCTCCAGGTGATTCCATGGACATCGCCAACTTACCCAACGTGAAGAACGTGCTATAGAAAGGGCGGTGGTGCCATGGCGATAAAGCACATGTAGCTCTAGAGCAGTGGTTCTCAAAGTGGGTCACGACCCCTTTGGGGGTCGAACAACCCTTTCACAGGGGTCGCCCGACTCATCACAGTAGCAAAATGACAGTGATGAAGTAGCAACAAAAATAATTTGATGGTTGGGGGTCACCACCACATGAGGACCTGTATGAAAGGGTCACGGCGTGAGGAAGGCTGAGAACCCCTGCTCTAGAGGGAGAAGTCTGAGGTTGGGGACCTCTCCCATGGGCCCCAGGCAGTCAAAGTACTCTGACAGGCACCCAGAAGGGAAGCTGGTGATTACAATGCCGGGCCCCCACCCCAGAATTCTCAGTTGGAGATGAAGGCCTGGGTGTCAGGGCCATCAGGCTGTGCCCAGGTGGACAGAGAGCTCCCCCACCGTCCATCAGACAGGATGGCTTGGTCTAATCAGAGGCTGGGCTCGGGTGAGAGCCCCGAGTTCTCAGTCCCCCACAAGCCCACCCACCACCCCACCCACCAGAACAGTGTCCATCGTGCAGACTGCCACAGACGGCGCCCTCCCCCGTGGCCAGACCCCACCGCGCACCTCCGAGGGTCCTCAGGAAAGGATGAGAGAGAAGCAGCGGCTAGGTGTCCTCAGGGCCTGGCTCCCAGTGGCCCCAAGGAAGGAGCTGGCTCACTGGGCCCCTTCCAGGGGTGGCTCTGAGTCCGAATCCACTTCATGGCAGTGGGCTTGCAGGGTGGGGGTAGGGCCCAGGTCTGTCCCGTGGTGGTGGCTGCTACAAGCCCGCCCTTCTCTCAGGGAAAGTGCGGCACAAACCCCAAAACCAGAAATGCAAGTCGGCCTGCCTCTGCCAAAGCCTGTACTCAAAGGAGGAACCGAGGCCAAGCCAAACATGGCCCGGAGGGGAAGTGCCACTCTGGCAGGGGCGCCCCACCCCAGGCAGGGCTCAGAAACCACGAGGCTCCCCGAGCACCCCACAGGTCCACGACGTTCGCGCCCACGGTGCCAGCTCCGCAGTGGGCAGGCCGTGCAGCTCCGGGCCAGCCGACCCGACCTCATGTGGACCAGAAGCCCGGTGGGTGACACCATCCTCTCGGGACTAGCGTTACTCCCCTCACAGAGGAGACGCGCCTAATAACGCGGAAGTAGGCAGGTTTGGGCAGGCCGGTGTTCGGGGGTGTCGGAGAGAAACGGAGGCAGGAGAGGAGGGGGAGAGGAGAACCCTGTACACTCTTGCTCCCAGCGGGGTGAGCCAGAATGGACGGGCAGGACATTGGGATATGGGTGCGTACGCTCACTCATTCCTTCCTTCCTTCATTCATTCATTTCCCAGGCCTGCATAAACCAGAGATCAAGTCAGACATGATCGCCTGCTGTCAGTTCAGTAGACGATAACAAAAAACAAGAGTTCAGCTCATCTGTTCCAGTTCGGACCCCCCCTCCCCAACCCCACCCACCCCCACCCCACCCCACCATTGAAACGTACATTTCCACCTCAGAGATCCTGACTCAGAATCTACAGTTGAACAAGTTCCCCCGAGCCAGCGGGGGGCGGAGTCTTCTCCCTCCCCAGGGTGTTCTGGGGGCGGGGTGGGTGTCTATTTCGGTTTGTGGTTGTTTGCTAATTACTCCCTTTTTTAATGAGTGATTGTGCCTTAGAGCACGGTTTTCACGAGGCGAGGCATTGTTCTCGGTCAACAGTTCATACCCAGGCAGTTCTGTGACATTGATCGCTGTCTCCAGGCCCACTGTCCCAATTTCCTCTCTGGGTTCGTGGATGCTGTCCGTTCCTTCCTGTGCCTGGCTTCCCGGTCCCTCCCTCTCGTCTCCATCTTTGCTTTGGTTGCCTTTTGGCCCCACACACCTGATGGCTCTGAGGAGCGCATTTTGACAGCTGTTACTGCTTATGTTATAAGCCCGCTGCTTATTTGGCTGAAAGGTGGCCTCCAGGAGCATCTTCAGGTTCAAGTTGAAAGGCTGTCTCAGGACAATAGTCTGGAGGTTCCTCTAGAGTCTTTCCGACCAGTGAATCTGGTCTTTTGTCTTTTGTTTTGTTTTCTAATTTGAGTTTTCTTCTACCTTTTATTTTAACCCATTCTAACCAGGATCTGCCTTGGAGGCGGGGCACCATCTAGTTCATCTGGCCTCAGGAAGGAGGAAGATGCAGTTCCTGTAGGGCATGAGGCCTTTCTTTGTTCTCCTTGGCTCCCTCCGGGTGGGAAAAGACCAACAGTTGCTCTCGAGAGAGCTGCTCATTAGCTTGTAAGACCTCAGCTACTCCTCACCAGACTGAGGTGCACAGCATCATCTTGACGGGCTGTGTGTGTTTGGCCCATGGACCAAGATGCCCGCAGGGCCTATGGTCCTTGGCTTGGCAGTCCAGTGGCTCAGGCCCAATGCCTAAGTAGTATCTGTAACTGTGCCCCCCATGTGTTCTAGGACACATACACGTGTATGCGTGCATCTGCACTTACAAGTATGTATGTGGAAATATCCAACACCACCCTACATATGCATGGGGGCTCCAGGGGCAAGTCAAAAAGTGTTGCTCCAAAACAATGGGAAATGGAATCCTTTGTTCAACAAACATCCCGAACCGGAAGCTGTTCTTTCTCAGCATGTCCTCGGTCTACATGCGTCTGCAGTCAGTCCTTTCCATCTCTCCAACCGGCCTGCCTCTCGGCCTCCCCTCCCCCAAAGAATCCTGAGCTCTCCAACCGGCATC